ATTGGGTATCGTTGAAATTCAGTCGTCTTTAACAAACAAAACTTTCATTCACAATAATATTACAAACCTGTCATTTATGGTTATTATAAATGTTTTTCTATGTCTTTTCACCAGTTTGAAGATTTAGCAGTTAGGTAAAGACAATAAGGAAATGTGTAAGAAACATAATTTGCATATCTTCAAATATTATTGAAATAAACTACTTTGGCACCAAGACGTTCTGACAGATTTTCCAGCAGCTCTGTGATGCAAAAAATGACAAAAAAAGGAAGAAAAACAGGAGACAATGGCTGATAACTTCAAACAGCTTGCCATGTGTGTTTTCACGAGTGGATGTTCCATTACAGCACAGCGCAACATGGCTGACAAACCCATCAGCGATGTAACAGGATATGGTGTGATCACTTGTTTCCACTGGTGAAAAAAGGGAGGGGAGCTTGTAGCATTGTAGTCATGCTCATAAAGAGCAGACGCTGCCTTCGTCCACTGTCGTGTCATTCTGTCAGGCCTGCCTGCGCTTCCTCTGCTGCCTTGTCACTAACATAGAGTACATAATACACTGCCATGCACTGAGTATTACCTAATGCTGTAAGCAGATATAAGGGCCTTTCACAAGTTACAATGCTTAATAAGTACGATTTTAAATTAGTTGACTTAAACATGTCTTATGCTTACAACTATATTATTATAAACCATTTATCAAGTGTTCATATACGGATTATGAATACCACATAGCAAACTATAGTGTAGCCGGTTAAATTCACTGTTAATTGAATTTCCTCACTTTAATTGGTTTGCAGTTTCTGTCAGCTAACAGAGGCGCAGTCTTGTTATAGCACAACAACATGCAAATTTGTTCGTTGTTATTCCAGGTGCAGGTGGAGCGTAACGTGATGTCTGGACTGTGTAAAGGTGTTTATGTGCGCCTAAAAGCTTTGACACTCCTCCCCATGCCTCCTGTGGACAGCACGCACTGCAGCACCCATCAGTGAGCAGCATGGCAGAGCACACGCCTGGTTTCCAGCTGGAACTTATGACTCTGTCACAAACTCTTACATACTCTCATGTAGATGTAGTGTTGCAGCTGGACATTCAGTAAACGGAGTGATATTTGAATTTGCAGCAGATTAGATCAGTTTGACCTTTATGTGACTCGGACAGTTAAGGGGGGGGGGGGGGGGTCTTGCTCAAGGAGACATCAGATTGACTCACCATTCAGATTTTCTGTGGATTTAAGCACATTTCGAGTTATTTTAAGAAGTTGAAATAGTTGGAAGTCATAATTTTCATGGACATTTGCATTCTTGGATAACATCATGAAAAACAACAGACAGGTGATTTACCTCAAAGCAAAGGAAAGTAAGGGATATCTTGATTGCTTCTGCTTTCTTAAAGATATGAGGATTTATTTGATCTGAGTTTATTTTTGTCAGTTCAATAAATCAGACTGCAGCTATCTGCAAAGTCTGGCTTTGTTTTGTTCAAGGTTACTGCCAGGCCAAGACTTCACAACCTGATTTAATGAGATGAATGCATCTGTTCCCAGTTTCACACCGGTGCCATCAAGACCTAAGTGGAAACAAGCCTTGCTCTGACACCATGGACATTTTTTAGGATCATACTTGTGCACTCTCTGTGAAAACTGCAGTTCTATTTGGTTTTCCCAAGGATGAGCGCCCCTTTTCAGTCTTGATTTGAGTAAATATCCATACGTATAATTACTTCTGCATGGGGAAACTTTCTCCTTTCCTTAGTTCTTGATTCTTGTACCACTCTCTAATGTCAGTCATTTAAAGCATCTGAAGTGAAGCATCTCAAACGCATGATATCAAAGAGCTGGTTTCATGCAGACAGCTTGGAGCCCCTGTGCTGCAGGACTTCAGCTTGCAGCCCAACACTTCTGGCACCTCTGTTTTGTGGGAGCAACGAGTTTGCGCCCCTAAGGTTGGCAGAGAGAAGGACAATGGATGTTTTTCCAATGACTAGGAGGAACTCATACCCTGAAATAAATGACTTACTTTATTTTAAATGACAGACCTACTTTTTTACTACCTCACTTGCCCTTAGTCACCTTGGGCAAGTGAGCAGCAACATAGGTCCATGGGAACACTGACTGCTGATTTTACTTGAAATCCAGGAAGCAGAAGAAGAAAAAATATCATGCTTCCATGGAGTCATATCTACTATTGCTCTTTGATGAAAAACATGTTTCCATTGATGCACCAGACTGGGTGGCTGGAGTTTAAGTATATGTTATGGTTTGATTTTCTGTTTTGAAATGGTCACTCCACCGATTGTGAAAGCAGTTGTATAAAGTATTTTGTGGCTCAATGGGGACTCGTCTAAAGGCTGAAAAAAAAGACTTCACTTTTTAGTGTGCAATACTAAAGTGGCCCTTTAAAGCCCTTTTTAATAATATATCAGAAATGTCATGTAAGTCATATAATCTCCATTGACTTGAAACACATTTTTATATTTAATATATTTTTATATCTAGATAAATATGCTACAGCCAGCAGCAGGTTAGCATAGGTCGGTGAGTAGGCTGTTGTGTATATTTAAAGGAGCCCAGCATTGAAGCTGGTATTTCACACCTCTGTGACTGAAGGAGAACATCACTCCCAGAGCTTTTCTCGTTTTGCACTTGTATTTGAATAAGAGGCTTCCCTATCTACCCTCAGCTTTCTGTGTGTCTCTCTGTTCTGTTAAAACTGACAATCTGGTGCCGAGCTCCACATCCCTACCTCCAAAATAAATACATATCAACACCAATCTATCTGATCTTTGACTTGTTCATTGTGTCATTCCAAACCACTCACCTTGTGACACCTTTTGTTCGAAACCACTACTGAAAGTGAACTTTTCTTGATGCGCTTTCAGGTCATTGCAGCCACTTTGCTTGAGGTTATTCATCCTTTTGAAATGCTTGCTGGTTGCTAAATAAAAGCCTCAGCAGAAAATGCTGGTTTACTGTGTCACACATTGACATACTCTGGCAAAGTTGTATGAACCACCCTGGAACGTGCTCCGGGCTTGAAACCAGCCACCAGTGCCAAACCCACATAGACAATCTTTGGTGTGCGCCACGTGGACTATTCCAAGATCCTCAACCCAAATCTGCCACTGAGAGCAAGGTTTTGACTTCCCCATTTTCCCTAGTAGCACATTTTTTTCCTGGCCTCACCATCATTTACTTAACCCCTTCACTCCTTGGTTGCCACACTGTAAGACAGATGGTCTGGTGTAAAACCCCAGTCAAATTTCTCTCTCTTAACCATAGAATTCTGCAAACACAATGGTACATAGACCTCAGCTGAGGTAATGCAATTTTCCACATTATGTTTGATTATGAAGAGTATTTGAGGAAGTGGACTTGTAGTGGTGGGAGACTGACTTCATTTTAAATTAAAAAAAGATGTAGAAGTTTTCCTAGATAAAGTCCATCCCAGACACGGATAAGATAACAGTCGATAAACCAACAGGTTATGTTTTCACATATATTTAGTGCGGAGATCTGTAAAGGTCATGTCAGCAAGATGAACGAAGATTGTCGCTGAGTGCAGCAGATTTGCGACTAAAAATTATGGATAAAAATGGATATTTTTGGAATCAGATTTAAAGGGTGAATGTGGTGGTATTTTTGTTTTTGTTATTGTCAAAAAATTATATAAAAAAACAAAACAATGAATTGATTCTACGAACAAGTATGGTATGCATATACAAAGCCTGATCATATTCCTCTGTGCCATAGTTTCATCGTTATTAAAAACACATCAACCACAGTTGTAATGGGTGACATGTTACCTCATTATCATGAATGTGGTACTGTGGTTTATCTTCAGTCCACAAAAATACCGTCCTGCTGCCGTTAATACTTACTAGAGCACCAAACGTGGATCAGTCCACCACTGAAAATAGTCCCTGACAAATGTATAATGTTCTCCTGTTTGAATAACATTTGCTAAACACTACGGTGACCAGCTGTTTAACAAGATTATTCAACTTTTAAAATGTTTTAAATAGAAGAAAAAAAACCTGAAAGATTTACATCGTCAGTAGTTAACAACTTAGTTTGGGGCTGACGGCCAGATACAAAATAAGGACGTCAGAAAGTATTGTGAAACTGTATCCCACATAACCTGGATTTGGTCTTTTTTATGTTATTTTTTGACAATGACAAATTCAAATGAACACTAGCCGTAACCTTAAAATGTATTTAGCTAATATTTCATACTGTTCGTGTTGGTTAAATATATTATTTCAATATGACAGTAATTATTATGGGAAAACTGTCAGTCCATGTGTATATAATCAACAAAATGGTGTAGAAGAGATTTATTTATGAAACAGAACAATCTTACACTGTTTGTAGAAAATGTAAATCTAACAACACAAGTATAAAATAAATGTACATTTTGTGCATTGCAAACGTTCAGAAAAATGAACAAGATGGAAACCAAACACGGAAGCACATGGCTGCTATACAGACTAACGACAACAAGGTGTACAGTAATACGTCCTCGATCCACACTATACAGTCACACAGTCACACTTTTTTTTAGAGACCTTCACCTGATTCCATTCTAACCAACACTGTTAAGTTTCACAACATCCATAAGTGATATTTGTGAGTAAGATATGAATGAAAAAGTAATTTGTATAAAATATTTTTACAGTATTTGATCTTCACGACTCCATCACACACGATGACTGACTTTTGAACCTCAGACTCTCTGCTGTTGATGTGAAATTAATTTGGTGCTTGGTACACAACATTAGACATTATCAGCCACTTAAACTGCAATTGTATGTACTTAACCACCTTTAACTACCTTAACTTATGCTAAAACCTTGATCTATCCTCTTTTTTTGTAGACGTGTCGCAGATAGAAAGTGTTTCAATATCATGTAAGGAAAGGGTGTTTGCTGCACTGACAGTAACTTGCAGCCACTTTGGCTGACCAGTCATAAGCTCCTCGTAGAGTAAAAGCACTGAAAAATGTTCCACGTGTACCAAAGTGATATATCACTTTGAGGACAGCGAAGCTCTGTCTGGACAGCAAAGAAAATAAACAGTGGCTTTTTGTAACATACACATACTACCAGAACTAACTCCCTCTGGCAGCTACTATCACATACATAAACACGTGCTGTAATTACAGTATGTATGTGATTACTTAAAAGCAGCTGATGTTTATCCTCTCTAAAGCTTTTCGCTACAGTTTGTGTAATATTTAAAAAACAACTTTAGGATATGCATGTCAACATTAAAAATCTTGCAATACTATAATGTGTTATCTTGATGTTTGTGATATACAATTATGCGCTTTGTCAGTGTAAACAAATAAATAATTATTTACAAACTCCAGCAAAAGATGCAAACAAACAAAACAAGCAGAGCATAAATAATTTACAAAAAGGAATTATGATACAGACTTAGTATAAACATCTTTGGCATTTACTAAAATGGCTTATTTAAATTGTTCTCCATAAAAAATACAAACACACACATTCAGGATGAAAATAATGAGGAGAAATAATAATGGACTTGACAGCTAAATGATTATGCTTTTGTTACAGTTTATGTTTGTCAGACACTGTATGATTGGCCACAAATGAGCATCTTAATCCCAAAGCCGAAATGATTAAAGATAGAGAACGACAGGTAGGAAAGCAGACAGCGTGTAAGTGGTTGTACAATTAATCCTTTAAAATGTAGGTACACTTGGTATAATTAGGTAATCTGCTTTTCAAAAAAACAAAAAAACTCTCATAATTTATTTCATTACCATCTCAAGAAATGTATAAGTCAACAGGAAAACTGAAATCGGCCATGGTTTTCTCTCCATTGGATGGATCAAGGCAAAGCGTGGAGAAGTATGGAAATCCTCATTTACTTTGAAATGGATTTAGTGATGACGTGATGTTTACTTTGAGAGACTCTTGTCTTTTGCCGTCTGATGTATTTCTTTCTGTCAGACTCGATTCAGTTATCTGTGGAAAGATTGAGAAAACAGCTTCCATTACCGCCACATTTATAATCAAAACTAGGACACTCAACGAGATTCACACAAAGTGCCAACGTGCAGCAACAACAACTGTGTGCGTCAGAAAAAAAGCGTGTCTTCAGTGTCTGCGGCTGTGATTGTGAAAAGGCTGCAGGCTCATTTTCCACTGTTTAGCACTCAACAGACGATCAGAAGTCCTTGGACCAACACAAGGTCTTTCACAATGCATCTGAGGCATTGTAGATGGGCAAGCTGACAAGCAGAAACATAGCGTGACAATCGTTTTTTGCTTCAAACAACACAGAACACACAACCCTTCTCATTATTACCTTATGAACACAGTTGGAAACTCCATCTTATCTGAGGTTTGAAAAAGATGTTGAAGGTTTAAATACTTTACCCACATTATTCAAAGATGGAGAAGGTTTTCTCCCCTTTTCTGATATTTGTACTATATTCATCGACATATGTGGATCATATACATGCCCACATTAAATACACATACACACATTAAATACACATACATGTCAATCCCCATTCTAAACGTCTATAGGTACAATTGCTTATATTTACGTATAATGCCTAAATTGCTTCATCACAGTCCTAATCTATAATTGACTCATACTCTAAGGAATAAATTGAGTCATGAACAGAGGACAAAGGACGAATGTGTATATTACAGTGTGAATCATTCCATGTTGTTAATTAAGAATCATTTTGATCTGACCGTTGAACCAAAATCATTCAGTGCATTTTTCTCTGATTTGGTTGCAATATCCTACAGTTGCATAACAGCAATCAAACAAATCAAAAATAATTCTACATTGACTTTTACCTATTCTAAACATATATTCCTATTCCTATCATTCTGCGAAGGTTGGGGTCAAAAAAAATCTTTGCTAGAGTGATGAACTATTTTCACGTGAATCTTTTGGTATAAGGTATCCTGTAATGCATTAACGTAGGCGCATGAGGCTGTCCCATGTGGTGGTCAAAGTTTCTGTTAAAATCATACATGCACACATATACGTCATTATTTCTCCAAGGACACAGACACATCTAATGTCAGAACTTAGTAGTAATCAAAGTGTTTCTACTAACCTCTGCATTCATACTTGAGGTCGGAGAAGAACACCAGCTCTTGAGAGAAGACAAACAAGCCTAACCTTCCTCCGGCAAACGTCTTGTCATAAACTGGTCCTGAGTCGGCCATGATTTGTTTACCTTCATAGACCACAACCCTGAAAATGACAGGACAGACATAAACCTCTTAGTGTGTTGAGATTAAGATGCTTACTAATGTACAGTTTCACTATCCGTCACTACACAAACTACAGAAAAGCTGCAGTAGAGAAATATGAGTGATTTTATAAAATGACCAAAATAATGTAGGTCTTTGGAGGACTGCGATCAAAGTTTCCTGTCATTGAGACAGAAAATCAACAGGTGTTCCTGTTCCTTACAAGCTTCATTTATTACCTTATAAAACCAGTCTTCGGTCTGTGCATGAGATGCCACCTGTAAGCTGTGTAATCCTTCCAACCAATGTTTTTGGGGTCATGCCACAGAGTCCGCACCTATGTGAAACAGTTAGCAACACTTAATACTGCTTCAGGCCTTAAAACAGACCAAATAGCATTTAGATTGCAGCCCACCTGTCCAGCAGTGTTGCCCGTGTGCCACAAAGCATTCCTGAGGTTTTCTCCAGTGCCAGTAGTCGAGTTGACGACTTTGAGTGAAACGCCAGAGATGCCGAAGGCCTTGGAGGGCTTGTCCTCCCAGTAAGTCTGTGTGATCTGCTTCCACATCACTACATAAAAGCGCCCACTCGACTGGTAGCCAAACACAAAGCCTGCATAGTCATCGTCTCTGTCCGTGTTCACGTACATCGTTCCACTGAAGTCCACAGCATTGAACTGATCAAAACCTGTGATAGTGTTAAAGAAAGGGGATTCTAAATCTCAGGGCTCTGCGCAATCAAATGGAGTTTCAAATCTTTAAAATTAATTTGAAACAGTTGTTCAAGAGTAAACATTTTTGTGTTACTCACCTACTGCAATGCCTGGGTCAGAATTGGCAGTCTGAACCAGCTCTTTGCCCTGGTGTCGGACCACCCAGTTGGGATCAATTTGAGTGGTTCCTTTAGGATCCAAGTGGACCATCTGGAACTTCCTGAAGTCTGTGATACTGATGGCATTGTTCTCCGGACACACATCAAGAATATCTGGGATATTGTCATTATCAAAGTCATCTTTGCAGGCATCCCCTCTTCCATCGCCTGTGAAAAAAAGATATAAAATACATTGGTTTGACCTAATTTAAATCAGACTTCAATAATTGTAGCTACATTTTTCCTATTTTTCCACAGATGGCAGCTAATATGAGAAATTATAATAAAAATCCCACTGAAGGGAGTACTGAGGAGCTCTTCCAAGATAATATAAAAAATGAATGGGGAAAATAGCAGTTCCTCACAGAAAACTGACTTTAATACATTTGCCAGGTCTACTAAGGCAAAACAGCCATCTTTTCATGCTATGACAACTTCCACTAATTTGTAACCATCTGAAGCCTGACGTCTATTAAAGCCAGACTGCAGGCCAGGAGCTCACAGTGGAAAGGACTAATGATGGCCACTGTGTGGAAGTAGCTAGCTGCTTTATTGTCATCTTTGTTTTTGCACAAGGGGCTAAAACGATCCTATCAAATAAACACTATCTGACGAGCTATGAAAGCGTCGGTGTCCATAGGGCCTACCTGCTTCGCAGTCTGTTTCCATTTACAAACAGCTGTACAAACTCCAGGAAACCCTGCTTAAATATGGTACTGTGGATTAATCACGAGCAAAGCCGAAAGGTAATAAAAACTTCACAGCCTGGAGTGTGACCTCCTGGGCGGCTAACTGAAGTCATGCAGAATGACATCGCTTTTGCCAAGCCGGCCGTTGACTTTTTCCGAAGCCACCTTATTTCACACCTGCAGCAGTGGAGCTAATTGCTGACTGTGAAAACATGTGAGAGACAGTATGCTGAAGCTAAATGTGAACATCACTGAGTAATGAGTACAAAGTCTGAGTGCATGGAGTCCACGGCAGAAAGACAGAATATAATGGCTATGAACTAATGTAACAAAATGAAATACAAGCTATAAATCTGTAAACTCTAGATGAGTAATCCCCAGACTGTTAAATTCAGTTACAGTCTCAATAGGTCTCTCACATGACTTAATGTGAGCCGGCAGGTGTCATAAACTGGTCATGTGAGATGAATTGTGGTACTGAACTAATGGTAATTCAATGGTAACTTATTAATTAATGTTGTACATTTTGTCAACTGCTGTTTCCAAGGTGAAGAATGAACTCTTCATCTCAGATTTTAAGGCAACGCAAACAAGAAGTCCTTTCAGTGCTCAGAAAAATGGACAATCGGAGCGTCTACAATTCCATGACAACTGGGTAACCCAATCTGCTGATGAAGCTCATGATACAGTCGAAAGCTCCAACGGCTACTGAGTGGACCTTGTGGTGAGATTATTTTGTTAAAAGAACTTTCAATCTCAATATGTCATACTCTATCTTGATGTAATAGTTGTTTTTGTGTACTTTATATTTTGACCAAAGGCCAAAAATTACATATTACACATTCATAACATAGTAAAAAATGTTTTGGTTATCCATAAACATTGCATTAGAAATTGACAATAAAAAAGTTATAGCTGCATCAAACAGCATCTAGTTACTTCGCCAGTCTTATGATAGCACACAGCCCAATGATACTAATGCAACTTTGTAACTTTGGTCTGAGAATTTTGATCTACATTTGACTCAGGCAAATACAAACACAAGTAATTTGTAGTTGAGTAGGAACACTTCACGACCCTTTGTACTGCCATTTCTGCATTAAACTAAGTATACCACTGGACAAACACACAAAACATAATCAGCTGGATTTACACACGGATAGAAAGTACAAGGCACGCACCAGACCCTGCAACCTTTTGAGTGTTTTATTCTCACCATCAGCGTCTATCTGGTCTGCATTGGGTGTCAGCCTGCAGTTGTCCTTGTCGTCAGGGACACCATCATCATCATCATCATAGTCACATGCGTCTCCTTTGCCGTCCTTGTCATGGTCAGCCTGGTTGGAGTTGGCCACATAGGGACAGTTGTCCAGGTTGTTCTGATGGCCGTCTTCATCAATGTCGTGGTTATTGTCGCACTGATCTCCAACCAGGTCATTGTCTACGTCGGTCTGTTGGATGAATACAGACAGAGGTTAAACACTTCCTGCACTCCTGTTGCACTGGAATGTGTCATGAAATGCACTGTGGTCACCTGGTCAGGGTTGTGCAACAATGGACAGTTGTCACAATGGTCACCAACTCCATCCATGTCAGTGTCCTTCTGATCAGTGTTGTACACATAGGGGCAGTTGTCGCTCTCATTCATAATGTCTAAGGACAAAGGGCAGTTGATGAGAATTTAATATAACAGCTAGCTGTCCTAGATGGATTGATTACAGTCATTTATCTGTTTAGCTATTTTACCATCTCCGTCAATATCCACTGCGCAGGCGTCCCCTTCTCCGTTGTGGTCGGTGTCTATTTGAGCAGGGTTGTGTTCATAGGGACAGTTGTCGCAGCGGTCGCCAACTTCATCCTTGTCAAAGTCAAACTGGCGAGGATTGTATTGGAGGGGACAGTTGTCCTGTGACAGAAAGTATGTAGTTGTTAGGGAATTATTCGTGTATCATCAATCTGATCATAGAATGAAACGTGTTAAAAACTCTCCTACCCTCTCATCTAGAATTCCATCGTTGTCATCATCCTTGTCACAAGCATCTCCTTGGCCGTCCTTGTCAAAGTCTTCTTGTCCAGAGTTGGGAAGGCTGGGGCAGTTATCCTGAAAAAGTCGTGGGACATTTTTACAGATACAATAGTTATACAATAGTTTATTATCACTGCGGATAGGCTTCATCAAATAGGGTGACAGAGTTTAACAAAATACCTTCTTGCAGTGATATGTGGCATTGGCACCACACACAAGGTTCTGATTGGGCCAACCATCCAGGTCAGAGTCTTCTCCACAAATGAAGCCATCTCCAGCGTAACCGGTCCTGCACTCACACTTGTACATAGGGTCACTGAAGTGGCTGATGTAGATACATTCGGCATATTTGTGGCAATTGTGGGTCTTGTCCTTGCATGGGTTCTCTGGCTCACACACCTAAAGAAAAATAAAGGGCAGGTGGAACTGTATTATGAGATTTTGTCACTGACCACATCCAACATCAAGGGTACTGGATGTGATCTGCCAGAAAAGAAAAGATGGCCCTCCATGCCCTTGTCATCAGTCTTTGTATATGTTTCTTTTGTTGTCAGCTTTTGATGACATGTTAAAGTCAAGAGTAGTTATCTTACCACTAGTCCTTGTAGCTTCCTCTTTAGAAGGCCACCCCAAACTGAGGGCTTCTCCAAAGCCAAAGTGCAGGGCACTTCTGAGCAGAGTTGATTTTATGAAATCCTACCTAATGCATCATACCTCCCACAACAACCCTCTGTTTCCTCTTTTGCAGCGCAAGGTATTCACAGCTGCCACTCATTACCAGAGGATGAACATAACTGCAGTGTGGATGCCACTCCATGAGCTCATAGAGGAGAGAGTGACAGCAAGAACAGGCCTTTGATCAAAACTGTGAAATGGTTCCCCCTTAATGCCAGCGATGAGACAATTCCCTTTTTCCCCCAAATCAATTATGGAAATTGGGGCATCATATCAAAGACAAGCAGCTGCAAAAGGCCAAAGAAAAAAATGGTCCACGAGGGATATTATGCAAGGGCCAGGCAGAGTGGCACGGCAGGTTTTTCAGTTTTCCAGGGAGTCTGTAAATTCAGTGATCTCAAGGGAGCAGAAAAACGTGTACTAATCAAATGACTAATGTGTCATAAATGACATGTCGTATTACCTGTGATACAGCTACAATTGAGCAGTTATGACAGGAGTGGAAATACTGAGCTGTTTTAAAGATCTCGTAGGCAGAGCCAGAGTAAAAAGCTCCACATCTCTTAGCTTGAATAGAAGCACTGATCCGTTCAACATATAAAGTAAAATACAGTTTCAGTCTGCCTCTGATCTTCCAATGAATGTAACAGAGATGTGTAACATATGTTTGTTGTTAAGAGTTGCCCAACTCTCCTCCCTCTACCTCTAGTTGCTAATACTGGGTCAAGGTGAGGCACATTCATATATGGTGGCCTCCCCTCCAACGCTGTGAAAACACTCTGACAGCATGAGTAAGGCTTATATATCCCCCAAGCTGCTGCTTCCATCATTCATAAATGTGGATCAATCCACACCACTGCTTTTGAAAACCTAGCAGGGAGCTAAATTCCCACATTGTATCCTTTTCTTTACTGCATTTTGTTCTCACTTAAAAGCTACCTCTGTTTGAATGGCATCCAAACAATGGTCTGTTATTGGCAATGAGAGTAACTTTAACGCACCTGTTTGTTCTTTTTGGCAGACTCCACACCCATACCGAAAGGCTGGTTGCCCTTGTAGCGCTTCGGACAGGGCAGGCAGTGGAAACCTGGATCGGTGTTGACGCAGCGCTGCATTCCACTCACTTTGTAGCAAACGTCAGACACCATGTCACACTGGAGGAGGGAATGAAAAGTATCAGTATCATTTGCAGACAAATGACACGTGTGAGGACTTAAACACACGTCTGGTTCATGCACATGAGAAAAACAGGAACTTTCACCTCATTGATGTCTTCACAGTGGCTACCGTTTCCACGGAAACCAGCAGGGCATGGGCCACACTCCCAGGATCCATCTGGAGAGCTGTTGCAATCCACTCCCCCAAAGCATGGGTTAGACAGACAGCCATCTGCAAGGGATTTAGATGACAAGTACAGGGAAACAAGGAAAGTTGATTGAAACATTGCTGGAGATATCTGTATGGTGTGCCTCCAAATGATTCCACTTGAGATAAATACCAATTCATATTTGTATTTATCTCAACTTGATGCTTAAAGATAAAATATGTATTCTTTCTTTAGCATATTAAGATTTGCTCTTAGCACAAAGAACCGCTGACGATCATTACTTTTGGTCAAAGCTTTTGAGGAAAACCACAAATGCCACTAGAGGAAAAGTCACCAAGGTTCACTAAAGTCAGTAGGATTCACCCTCTTGGGAGCATGAATGTTTGTTTTTTAGATATTCTATTCCGGGCTAAACTTGTTGACCGACCAACTAACCAACCGACCGACCGACATTCCTAGAGCTTGTTGCTTGCATGGTTAAAAACATGATGTAGAGTGACTTGTGCTCACCTATAGGACAGTCTTTTGTGTTACAGCTGTCACTGTCGTTGGCCTCTCCGATACAATTTTTGCCGCCGTACTGAGGTTGAGGGCTGTTGCATACCCTCGCTCGACTTTTGCCTCCCCCTCCGCATGTTGCTGAACAGGTTGCCCATGGAGACCAAGGACCCCAACCGCCATCAACTAAAAAGACACAGAGATAGATCTTCAGTACTTCATTTTTGACAAAAAGCATTTCATTCCACAAGTATTTCAACTCTTTGTTTCTAACATTTAAAGTCTAAAATCTGAAAAGAAGCCAGAGAGTCAGAAGCCTGGAACTTAATACTACAAGTGAAAACATACTGAGCTGATTTGAGTCAACATTTCCTGAAAGACAGACAGGAGGCCAGTCTCGAACATATGGGGAATGTTGCCTCAGGGAAGCCATGAGGCACAAGAAAGTCTGGTTATTCCACATGGATGCTGCTGTAATGGAGATGCTGCTTTTGAGTGTTCCCCTAACAGGCTGGAATACTCACTGGGACAGGGTTTGGCAGTGCAGCGCTGAGTTTCTCTCCCACTTCCCTCGCAGTCTTTACCCCCCAGTTGTGGCATGGGAGCATTGCAGTGTCGTATCCTGGTGATCTGTCCTTCTCCACAGGTCACCGAGCAGGACGACCACGGCGACCACAAACTCCAACCTCCGTCCTGGCGAACTGGGAATCCAACATCAAAACATATCAGGCAGAGATCACAAAAACACATGTCACGTATTATTCTCTAGATTTCCACCCAATCAAATAGTTACAGACATGTACAATTTGCAAAAGCAAAGAAAAATGGCTACCACATTTTCTACAAGTAAACATTATGTGATGCTGGCGACGATGGCTCACTTTCAAAGATGTTCTGAGACGCCTGCGTCAGTATTTATGTCATTGTGGGTAAACTATCCTCCAGTGGTTAGACTGATTCAGTCACTCACACAGATGCAGTGTAACGTGAGCTGCAAGCAATAGCACATGCCAATCCCACAATTGATCAAACAAACAATACTTCAGTTTTGGCATCAACCTCATATAAAGTATATCTAATGATCAAACTCATTAATATTTTATATTTTTGCATGGCAGGCGGTGGTGAGTCATTGTACTGTGGAACACCCTCTCAACCAGTGATTTATTTGGAAAAAAATGTGACTGGGCACACCCTGCAACCAGACCATGCAATACTGCTTTTCACTGGGATTCAGCCTCACTCAGATGGATCCATTTTCAACAGATTCATAGAGGCATGAACTCCACAGCTGCATCATGTACCTCCCTGCCATATGTCATACTTCTATTTGTTTTAGATTATTGTGTAGTTGATTCAATGACAGATGCATAGTTGATCAAGATCACTGCACTATCATCACTGCACTAAGGGGGTTACTACTGGAATAAATATCCTCACCACGGCTGTCGCATTTGCCCAGGCTGCACTTGCGGGTCTGGATGGAAGGTCCGGTGCAGGGGTTGCTCGTTGCATCACATGACCGACCCCTCTGCTGAGTTCCAGTCCCGCAGGTGACAGTACACTCTGTCCACTCTGACCAGGGGGACCAGCCGTCCTCACTGTGTGTAGCTGAAAGAAGTAAAAGCACAAAGTCAACATTTTATTCCTTATTTCTCCTCATGTTAAAACAGAATAATAAAAGTACTAACAAAGGATCACTGCACTGTTCCAACTACTTACGCATACACACGGGGCAGCACTCGCCGTCGATAAATGACGGGATGGCACAGGCCACTGGAGGGCATGTAATTTGGTGACAAACAATCTTGGACTCCTACCATCAATGAATATTAGACATGTATCAGGGTAATTCACATCCACAGTAAAGATGTCCATATCTCCATTTGATTTGGCACTACCTGGCAGGTACATTTGGTGCAGCTGTCTACAACCCAGTCTTCCTTATCGTCAAACAGGCGGCCATCCTGCCAGCACATGTTTTTCTCTTTAGTGTTCTTCATTCTCCCAAGGGCCTCCTTCATGACTGTGTTCTCCTCTGTCTTAACATACAACAACAGACAGATTTGAGTCAGAAAGGAGATCAGTCAGAAATGATTAGGTCACACTCATGATAAAGGTAGACTGCATTCCAGGAAGCATGTGAAGCTATTCACCTGCTGACAAGCTGATTCTAGTAAGAGAGCACATGTGAGATTATTTTCACCAGCTGGAAAGAAGAATAGTACACGCTGCTCCAGTAGAAGAACTGTTTCTCACTTTTAAAGAAGTAAGACTACTTATGTGGATCACAAAAATCACTCTCTGAGAAACACAACCACAAAATACTTTATTATAATAATGAAGGGCCAAATATAGCCTCCTGGCATTCTTTCCATGAACCTATCTGTCCCTCTCCAGTTCAGTACAGCTCTGAGGTGGAAACTTTCATATCATTATGAGACATCTTTCTTTCAGATCGCCTCATGAAAGAAAAGAGTCTCAGACAAAATTTAAATGGACCAGGAGGAAGAATGATTGATTTTTAAATTAACTCAAAAAAGTACATCGACACAAAAAAGCTTTTAACGGTACAATGTTAATTTCACAATGTGATTCTCATTACTTCAAATGGCTAACTGCATCTCTGTATATGTATAATGCTTCTAGGAAAATAGCCCATTGAAAAATAATGCTTAGTTATGCACATTGTAAACTCCAACCCAATTGGAGACCAGGGGACCTCTGGCTGGATTCCTGAACACTTGGGAGCTCTCAGACTACTGCCAAAGGTTCGTGTGTAAGAGTGTGTGGAAATCCTCCCGTTGAAAAAGGGAGGCAGCCGTGTGCAGCACTAGAATCTAAGACACCACTCGGTCTGGAAGAGCCTCAGGGACCCTTCTCATCCCAGACGGTCTTTTTTTTTGTTCCCAAGGTTCATGCCCAGACTATTATTGCTGGGAGGCTCCCAGAGGAAACACATGAGCTTTTTAAACACAGCCAGACATTAGACTGGACCCCATCGCTGCCAGGGGAACACTTCCTATATCCCCGTGTAACATGTCATAAAATCTGTCTGACTCACGCTGCCACAGATAGCAGGAGTCAAACGGGTTAAGCCATCACTGGCGACGCCATAAACAGTCCTGAAGCTACTTGCTATTTGATTTCAAAGCAATGTAGGAAACCTAGTAACATAATTCAAACCTCTAACATTCCGGCTGCCACACCCGGGATTGAATTTGAACAGCTGATTTTGACAATTTCACATTCACCACTGAAAATTTGCCTGTAGAGCACAGCAAAACAGTAGCATGTCTGAAACAAACACAATGATTTACACCAGGTCACTTCTACTACTTACCACTTTTTGCAAGCCATCAATAAGGTTGCTAACGACAACACGCAGGCCGTTGAGCTCCTGGAACATGGTGCTGAGGTCCTCGCAGGAGCGCTCACACATATCTGCGCTCGCATCGTGTGTCTGCTGACCGATAATGTTTGTAGTGATCGAGGGACTCACGTCCACAATTTCTGTGCTCTCGCTCACAATATTGGCATCATCTGGAGGGGCAAAAGAAGATACATCAGGGTGAATGAGCAAGCGAGCAAAAGCGAACAAGCGACACTGGTGATGGAAAACACATTTGAGAAATATGATGATTCAGGATACTCTGTTCAGGATACAGAGTGATTTCCTGTTTTCCTGTTGCAGGCAAAACGATCACATAAATGCAGTGATTACAATGTTTATTGTGTACCAAAAACAGATGTTCAGTCATTGTGTTTGTTTGATTTGAGAAATCTATGTTTGAAATGGTGACGGTAAATCTTTCCACCAGAGATGACAGCCGGTTTGGCTGTGGAAGAATGGGAAGGGAAGGTATGGCAGAAAACAGGGTGTTCCTGGAGCGATGAGAAACCACACCGTTGTCATTCATTTCCACAACCTTTTAGATAAGTGGACACTTCCATATGAACTTAACAGACCAGAGTGACCACACAGATGGATTTACAAGCAGCCGGTGGAGCTCATGGTCTTGTGCTTCCATCGGATCTGTAGCACAGGCACTAAAGATACCCTCGTCTAGATGTCAGCACACTAGAGTCCAAAGTGCGGGAAAATCCCTTGAGTCACAGCATTTCTTAGTCATTACTAACGCTAGAAAGTCTTCTCCTTCGGTGCAGTATGAAAGGGAATGCTATTGTCAACCCCAGAGTTGTCTGAAGGGCTAAATGTTGAGTCTTCTTTGTACAATCTGAAAATCTGAAGCAGGAAGTCCTGCGTGCGCCAAGAGTAACGTGTCTGCCAGGTGCGATCTTTGTACAAAATACACAGGCAAAAATATATTCACAGAGCAGAAAAGAGCATCTTTCTACATCTTATACAGTATGAAATCCTGAGCACTCCCTCAGTTTATTTCCCCAGTTTGTATCTAAACTCACTAACCTTCTGTGATATGATGATGAGCTTATGGATGTGTGATGCCGAAAAACAAAACACACAAGATACTTATCAAAGCTTCATGGAATGCCTGTCACTCAGCCAAAGCATAGCACATATCTGCAACAGGTTTGGATCTTGCTATGTAAATTGGTGAAGATTAATAGCAGACTGAGGGACTCTAAATCAAGTTGTCCAAATGATGTCCCACTGTAGCCAGTGTTATGTTTTCTTTCCCTTTCAGTCTGCTGGATTCATTCAAATCTCAGGAGGGCTTCATGCTGTGTGTGGATGCGCGCAAGCTCGTCTGTAAAAGCATTTACACATTCTTCTCTCCCTGATAGACATTCTCTTATTTTCTCAAAGCAGATAGAAGACAATTAAAAAAGAGCAAAAATCTTGGGTAGTTTTAATACTGCTCATTAATGTCCAACATGAGAGTTTTTTTGAGCGTGGGTTGTGTGGGTATATGAGTGACTTTTGTGGCATTAGAATTGCTACCAGGGCAGAACCTTGACGAGTACCATCCAGCATGCAGAAAACGTCCAGGTCTTAGTTACATCTGTTAAACAAATAAACTCATTCAAATTCATCTGGACTTTAACACTGCTTGAGGCAATGGAAATGCTCAGAAACCCCTCTGTCACACACAAACATGCACACCGCAAATATATTTGCTTTGTCACAGTAAACGAAAGACACTGTTTCCAGATCTGGTGACCCTTTATCTTTGATGTACAGCTTCAGCTTCAGCTGAGAAAAGCAACCTAATCAGCCAATTCATGACTTCATTTTGTGTGTGTTTGTGTGTGTGTATGTGTGTGTGTGTGTCTGTGTGTGTGTGTGTGTGTGTGTGTTGTGTGTTTGTGTGTGCAGCTGGATGTGGATGCTTCCAGCTCTGCAGTATAGCATTCACTTTCTCTTTTCTTTCCCAGGGCATTATCCCGAGCCTACTGCCAATGGAAATAAATGTAAGCATGTGTATCTCCTTTTGTTCACCACGCAGACACACTGCTCGACCTTAAGCCACTGCATCGACACTGCTATTTCCGTAAATGTGAAGTTATGGGGGGACATCCTGCCACATACCAATTCAGCAAGTTTCTTTACCCACTCAAAAAAGCTCAACTGAGAATGGTTTGGAAAGTTGCTGTGGTTGATACTTAACAAAACACAGATACCAGGCTTTGGAGGATCGCATGTGAAAGAGTTTCCAAATCACATCTGTAAGGTATCGGGGCTTGAACAGTTAGCAAATATAATTACTTTGACTCATTGTTTGGCTCATGAAAATCACACAAATAGAAATGGTTCCTATTGCTCGAGTATGGTGGGAAACTTTGGGAGAATGCTGGTTTAAACACCTTAGAGACAGCCACAAAAAACTCTGCTCCCTACCTTGTTTAGGGACATCACAGTCTCTGCTCAGCAGGACGTCTTCCACTGTGGTGTCGAAGATAAAACGCACGTTCTGCAGAAGGCCCTGATTGGTAAGAAAATATGTGTCTATTACATACTTTGGCTACTTTGGTATATTTTAGAACAGACATATATCCTTTGTCTATACCCACTTACTCCTATTCAAGCATGCATTGGGACACAGACAGATACTTCACTCTTGATCTTGTCACACTCAATTTTACACACAAGGGGCAATTTAGAGTCTAAATTTGTCCTCTCCACACAGGAAGACCAGGGAAACACTGAGCCACTCTGCCTCACTTTGAAGAGGAAGTATGCTCGTCTCTGATTCTGGAAACTGTTGTTTAAAATGAGCTTTTATTGTAAGCTTAGTTAAGACCACAGTTTCTTGTAAAATATCAGAGGTGAATAAATATTGTAGGGCCTTTAAACTCACAAAAGTCACAAAAGGACTGAAGGTGAAAGACTGCCAGATCCTGGTAAATCCTTGTCCTACCCATAATCCATAGTCTCTGTCTTACCCTGAAGTGGTTCTCCCGAATGGATCCCTTTGCAACATACATGCGGCTCCCCTCAGCCTTCAGGTGCTCGTAGAAAGGCTCATCCAGGATGAAGCTGTCTATCAGGCTGCAGCCCACAAACAGGTTTGCATTTTCCCCATGAACATGAAGTGTGATATTCTTCCACTGGGAGTCTGACAGGTCCACATCCTCAAAGGAAACCACATTTTGGGTGCCGTCCACCCAGTATACCAGGTCCAGAGTATTGGCCCGCCCATTGGACACAATCTCAAACTGCCGCCGGCCATCGGGACCCTCCAAACCAATCAGGGTGCCCCGTGAGGTGCGGTCCTGGCGCATGCTGGCCACAAACACAAAGCCCTCATTGTTTTGGATCTGACGTAGTATTTGTTTTAATATGGGGGAGCTCACTGGGGGCAGGTGGTCAAAGCGGATGAAGCGGTAAGCAGGGGCATCTGAGTTTTGGCCCCGAAACAGTTTGGCCCCCAGAGTCTTGCGAGTGATGTGGGTGATTTCAAACAAGTCGAATGACGTCTCATCCTCTTGCTCACCATCTAAAAATCAAACCAGAGGAAATGCAAATAGCAGTTACTTCAGGGCGAAAGAATAAGAGTCCATGAGCTCTATTTTTCTTTAAATAAAATAGGTATTTAAAAAAAAAGAACAATGGCAAACAGCAAACAATTAGCAAAATGTTTAGAGGATTTAAAAAACTTCACTGATTGCACTTGAAGTTAGTGGGGCTTCTAGCATTTAGTTTCAGTATCAACAATACAAATCTAGTCAATAACCTTTATTATTCATTTATTTTAATATTAGTCAGCATTAGAATCATTTACAAGTGTTCCACTTACCTTGAGGTAATGCGTGGAGAAAATGACAAGATAAGAGCAGCAAGAAGAGACTTCTCCTGAGTATCATATCTCCTTAAAAAAACAACAGGAATGTTTTTTTTAAATTAGTATTTATGTCCCTCTAGTCTTTTTTCGACATCATCAATGCATCTCAAATTGATTTGATTTTTTTCACGTGATCCTCACAATGAATAATTCAAATAATGACACAACAGACGAACCAAAAAAATCCAGCTTTTCAGCTACAATACGCTGTTTACAGCATCACATGCAGATTCTGTTTTAATGCGTGTTAATCGCTTAAATGCTTTGAAAAGTGTTTTCAGTCATCAGATAATGAATTACTTAAAGTGCTGAGCTACATTTCTCTCGTACCTTATACCTGCTGGCCTATCTCCACACAGAAAAGTTCAGCGATAAATAGGCTATGGTGCCGTGTAACTTACCTGACGAATGCAGTGTATATTTTTTCAAAACAATCAGATATCCGACAACAATAAAATAAAAACAATGAAATCAGAATAAAAAGCCGATGATTAAATGAAAGAGAAGTGGTATCTCCTGTACACCTCGTGCGTAAAAAGCGTAAAGTCCACTTTGGTTCACTGCATCCACAGTCCGCAGGACTTTAGGCACAACAGTGACTGAGGCATCCAGCTCCCTCCTCTTATATAGAGAGCCTGTCAATCAAACTCTTTTGGTTATGAACCGTTTGCAGCCAGTTTGTTTAGAGACAGAGTTATATAATTATCTTCCGATGGCGTAATTGTCTTATCCGCGCTCGCACACAGAGGCTGGTATGGGGGCGGGCGGGGGGCGGAGGGGGGGCTTATTCACCTTTGGGAAGAGAGAAGTGGGTTGTTTTACACCGGAGGGACAAAGTTATGATAATAAAGAAACCAAAAATGTTTTCAATAGCTTTTATAGCTTTACCCACCCCCCCTTCCCTTGAATGTTATTGTTTTTCTAAAAAAAATTATTTTACACACGCATACATATTTTTTATATTTGGATAACAGTATTTTGACTAAAACTGTTATAATTCAAAACTTGCAAAACCGATAAATCAAAGTGAGCCTCCCAGTTATGTCTGCAATATGACACAAAAAAAGAACATGAAAATGACTTCTGCAATAGATACTTTGGATGCTTTCACTTTGCTGGCAAGCAGTGTCTTATGCCTGAAGATAGTCAGGATTTTGCCAAGGCTTCCCTCTGCGGTGTCAGGGAAAGAAAAGCTGACACAAACTCTCATTCTTGGAGCCCTGTAGAGGGATCACAGCTTTGGCAGTGGGTAGGCTTTTGTGTACCAATAGGATCGTCACAGGGATGGTTTGCGTCAATTGAATAAATTCCATTTTGAGGTAAAAAGGGGGTGAAGAACAGACTTACCAAATGGGAAGAACGTCTATCAACAACATGGATCATTAACCTGACAGAAATTAGAAATGCTCGCTGATGATAAAAGCATTCTGCACTGACCCGAGAACATCAGATTAAAACTGTCAGGGATGGAAAAAGATGAAACGCTCCAAAGACTTGCACTCATTGAATGAGGTAGTGCAGCTGTCAGTTGTAGTTTCTCAAGATGTGCTTTAATCTGATTTTTAATCAGGGTTTAGTTCCTCTTGAGTCATTAATAATCAAAGTCATATTGTGGGCTATTGGAGGAAAACTTCTTCAATGGCTGTTTTACTATGAAGCTCACAGAGTCCCCACGAATACCTTTAATTTCTAAAATCTGCATTCACCCACTTTTATTTGACAGACAGTAGTTCTCTGTAATGAGGCTTTACCAGAAGAGTTCAGACAAAAAGTCAACTTTGTGTGCAGAGTGCAGAGCTACTGTTGGAAGTGAAATTGTCATGTATTTTTATCCATGCAAATTCAAGCAGTATTTATTATGGGAGGAAAGGAATAACAGGTAGCAACAAATCCATGTCAGACTTGTTGACACCAAACTGTGCCATAAAGTGGGAGTAAAGAACACCCTGCTCTAACATCTTGCTCAAAACACAGAATCCGCACAGTCAAGGTTTCCATTGCTTTTATGATATTTCTGAAAACTTTCTGGATCATTTGAACTGAACCACACCACAATCCAATGCTTAGTACGCAGCAGAGATCCACACATACATGTGGACTCTTCTTTTAATGCTACAAACACCAGAGATCTGGATGAGTCATGAAATTCAGATGATGAATGGTTGTTGGGTTGATAAACAACTATAGTTTCCAGCTCTCTTCTCCAAGCTGCGACTTCACCGTGGAGGTTTATGTGTTTTTAACAAAAAAAAATGGGTTCAGTGTGACTCAGGAGCACAATCCAAAAAGGAAATCTGGCAACTTTAATGTTTATAGTACTGAGAACTGGAGAGAGGGACACATGTAACATGCAAATTTCACGTCCTCTGTAAAATACAATAGTTCTGGGAATGACAAAAATACAGAGGTTGGCCTTTCTAGTTAGGATTTACTTCAAATAGCCAATTTAAATTGATAATGCCAAAAGATGAGTAATGGCAATGAAACAAATTTGGCCAGAATGGCTGGCATTGTAAAATATCATAATCTCCCAAATGGAATGACATCTCCTTTTGCACGACAATTGCACGGTAATGTAAAGTATGCATTTGATATCTGGAGAGCTACTGCATAATCTTTGGATGTTACTGCTCTCATTACTCATCTACTGTGTATCTTAGTAGTTAGAGACCACCAGCTTGTTTGCTTGTGGTTATGGCAATGGTATCATATGAATCTCTGTGCTCCAAAGCCAATGTGACTGTTCCCCTCTCCATTTCGCTATATCCTAATCTGGAGTTGGATTTATCGTTGGTATAATCCAGTTTGTTATTGTGTCTTTCAAAATGTCAGTCTTGTTAAATCAAATCACCATATGTGCAATATTTTCGTACTGAAAATTAGATTGCACAAGCATGCATTCCTCTTGGGAAACCAAGCTTTGGGGATGCTAGTGTTGTTCAGTAGGTCCATCACAGACTGTAGTAACTGACTTTTCCGTTAGTGCCACCATGATGTTGACAATTGTCGTTATTAGTGAAGTTGAACTATTGAATGGATTGCCATGAATCTTTGTTTGCACGATTATGTTCCTCAGGATGAATTGTAGTGACTTTAGCGCCATCATCTAGCGCAATCACCAGGACAAACATTAAATCTGTCCAATACTTTGGTTTATGATGATGTTTAATACCTGCAAAAAATAATACCATTACCATCAGCCTCAGCTCCAGTTTGTATTATGTGCTGATAAGCAAATGTCAGCATGCTTTTACACTAAACTAAGAGGATGAACAATGGCAAACATTATACCTGCTAAACATCAGCATAGTAGCATTATCATTGTGGGCAAGTTAGCATGTTTAAGTGTGTATTTAGCTAGTGAGTCCAGCCACACTAAGCTACTAGCATGGATGTAGACAATTGTTCAGTGATGCTGCCTAAAAAAGAAAGACTGGAGTTTTACAAGTTTTCTTCAAGAGTTGAAAAGCAATTGTTGGGAAAAAATCGAAATGACTAATTAGTATGCGTTTAAATGATTAAGGAATGTTATACATTTAACATAGGCTCATGTCCTCTGTAGGGTTTAAGGCCTGTGTCCTTGTGTGAACTTTCACTAACACCAAGCGTCTTCAGCAAATGTTTAGTCTATTAAGAAGCAGTTGATTGCCGAAAGAACACTTCAGCTGTTTGTCCTGAATAAAAATGATAATAAACTTGTAGAAAGCGTCAATACTTACGCAGGGCTCATTTGCGACCATGACTTACGAGAAAGTGACCTTTGTACTAGAACAAATTGTTAAAGTGTCCAGATACGTAGACGCCTGTGTGAAACGCAAAATGTGTGTGTGTTACCATGTGCCAGCCCACTGCATGTTGTTTACTTAGTATAAATACCAGAGACTCGGAGACAGATCTTCGAGCAGTCTTGATGTACATTCTGTATGTGAATCAACCCTGTCTCCTTCTTTGCAAAGAATAAATGTCCAATGATTAATGATTTTTACACTGGTCTCGAGTGAATTTTTCAAACAGCAATGTTCACTGTCAAAATATTATAGTGTTCCCTTCGCCAAACACAGGTCACTTACATTTCAGTCACTGACTTCCTTTGTTTTTGTCTCTTCCCTGAATTTAAACACTTGTGTTTATTTTCTTTCCGCAAACTTTAGACAAGATGTATCTTCCTACCATGCATGTTCATTTGACCCGATGACACATTGTCATTTTTATAGCTGATGTATGGAGCCACATCAGAGCAACCATCAATCAAAGCCTCTGGGCTGCAGAAACACAGAGGCCATTCTTATGCAGGAATAGCAAAATTATACCAGAGTTTTTGTCTGTCACATTGCATGACATAAGCACCAAATGTGTGCATTCATTGTTGAATACTTCAGCCTCAGCTGTTCTTGCATGATGCAAACAAATGACACCATTATGATATGATATCTCTCGGCTTCACCCTAAATAGCACCAGAATGTTCTGCCTAAAATCCTGTCAAAATGCCCAGTTCTTATTTCAAATAAAGGACGTACAGAGCGTTTCGTCTCATGCTGAGATGGATTGTTCCGGGTAGTATTTTACAACATTTGAGTCACTCGACAGGCTTCATTTTACAGAACAGAGCTCCGTGAATTGTTTGCTGAGGCAATAGAGAAGTCAGCAGGGGAGCAAGAAAACTACAGAAAACATTCAAGCTGATCTGTACGCACTATTAATCATTAAAATCGCGTCGCTACAGGACTTCCAGTTTGACTTTCTGGCTTCAAAGGAAGTTCTAACTGGGCATTGAACACACAATTCTGTCCACTAGTCATTCTACACTTCAACAAACTGGGACTAATATGAGATGGTAACTTTTACTGTCTGCAAGGATTTTACGGTGATCTGGAAAACCAGCATCATCAAAGTGTGCACTATAACAGTATGACAACTTGCAAAAAAGAGTACTTGTTTCCAGGAAACCACCTGTTTGCTCTCAAATAATCTAATTCCAGTTTTCATATGAAAATGGCTCACACACCTTGGCTAAGACCAGGCATGACATGAAAGTGAGATAACCAGTGTTTGTGCTTGTTCTCCTTTCAAAGGTTTATTATGTGACCTATGTGAGTGGGATTTGTTTTGAAACATGATTTGTAAATTCAACACAACAGAATATTTCCTGGGTGATATTAAGCATGGGATCATAACAGCATCAGGGGAACACTTCAATGTTATTGCCACAAAGAGTACAAAATCAGACACTGCTGTTCAAAATGTCGACCTGCCAAACCTTTGTTTATGTGCTTAGCCAATATCCTAAGCGGAAGTATGAACAGAGGGGACCTTGCTTACTTCCTTCGTTGCCTGCAGGACAGTGGGAGGATGGCAGACTGTGAGAACCCCATTAATTGCCTGCTGGCTGTTTATGTTTAGCGAGGGTCAAACGCTGCCAGCTTTATGCAACATTGCTTGTGATAGTGATGCAATCAGGCCTCCAGTCAATCCAGTGGGCTAGGATTTATCCCCAGATGTGTGTTTAGATATGTAACTGTTGGAATTGTAACTTGTTGGACAAAAGCAAAATGTCCCCAAATTAAAAGTATGAAAAATGAAGTTGGGGTTGAGTTGTGAACTTAAAATAATTGTGAGATGCTATATGAAATGAAAGAAAGTACTATAGTGTTTCCCTAAATTTACTTTGACTCATACTTACCTACATTTAGGTTCAACGTTAATCACCATTTTGCTTC